ACGTGTTAACACTTTGTCTATGTACGTAGACTATGAGAGGCCAATCAATCGTCTCGATCTATCTCTATAGATCTTGATATCTAAAATATAGGTTGCCTCTCCTAAATCTTTCATGGAGAATTTCTGTGACAAGAATAGTTTGATCGATGATATCATCGGTACATCATTCCCGATCAAAAGTATATCATCGACGTACAAAACTAGAAATGCAATTGCACTTCCACTGACCTTCTTGTATACACAAGGTTCATCCGGGTTTTTGATGAAACCAAACGATTTGACTACTTCATCAAAACGGATGTTCCAACTTTTGGAGGCTTGTTTGAGTCCATAAATGGATCTCTTAAGCCTACACACCTTCCGACGTTCGCCATTGGATTCAAAACCCCGTGGTTGTTCCATATAGATGTCCTCCTCAAGAAACCCATTTAGAAAAGTCGTTTTGACATCCATTTGGAATATCTCATAATCTAGGTGTGCAGCTATAGCCAACATAATCCGAATGGATTTTAGCATGGCTACAGGTGAGAAAGTTTCGTCATAATCGATTCCTTCTTTTTGACGATATCCTTTCGCCACCAGTCGTGCTTTGTAAGTTCCAACTTGACCCTCAGCATTCATCTTCCTCTTGAAAATCCATTTACAGCCAATTTGTACAATACCATCAGGTAGGTCAACTAAGGTCCAAACTTCGTTGGAATACATTGAATCCATTTCGGATTTCACGGCTTCTAGCCATTTACCAGAATCGATGTCTAACATCGCCTCCTCATAGGTGTTTGGATCACCAGGTTGATCACCATCATTCACAATGAATAATGGTTCAATATGCTCAACCAAGTGTCTATAACGAGCAGGTGGACGAGACGTTCTCGCACTCCTCTTAAGAGGTTGTGTATCAGAAGCTCCCACTGAATCAGAGATCGGTGTTTGAACTTGGTTAATTGGTACTTCATTGTTCTCTTCTTGTAAGACTATTTTCCACCCAGCACCACCTTCCTAGACGAACTGATTCTCCAGAAAAGAAGCATGCCTGCTGACCGAAATTCTTAGGTCAGAGTGAAAATAGAAATAGTATCCAAGAGACTCCTTTGGATATCCAATGAAGCGACCTTGTTCAGACCTAGCCTCTAATTTTTCCATTTTCAGCTTCTTGACGAAAGCTGGACAACCCAAAATCGTAATATGATTAAGACTTGGTTTCCTACTATGCCATATCTCATAAGGCGTAGTTGGAACAGATTTGGATGGCACTCTGTTCAGTACATATGCGGCTGTCTCGAGGGCATATCCCCAAAGGGATATAGGCAAATCAGTGTAACTCATCATAGATCGCACCATATCTAATAAAGTGCGATTTCTTCTTTCAGATACACCATTGTGTTCTGGAGTTCCAGGAGGTGTCCACTGTGAAACAATGCCATTATCCTTAAGATAGTCCAGGAATTCAGTACTAAGATATTCACCTCCTCGATCAGATCGAAGAGCCTTAATACATTTTCCTGTTTGTTTCTCAACTTCAGCCCTGAATTCCTTGAACTTTTCAAAAGATTCGGATTTATACTTTATTAAGTACAAATAACCATACCGTGACTGATCATTGATGAATGTAATGAAGTAAGAATAACCACCTCTAGCATTTTCATTTATTGGTCCACATACATCTGTATGTATCAATCCCAGTATGTCAGCAGCTCACCCACTATGTCCCACAAAGGGCGCTTTGGTTATTTTTCCTAGAAGACATGCCTCACACGCCGAGTATGGCTCAAACATTGATGAATCAATATGCCCATCATTACTCAACTTGTTGATTCTGTCTTCTCCAATATGACCTAACCGAAGATGCCAAACATACTTTGGGTTTGGACTATCTTTAGGGCGTTTATTAGTTATGGCATTTATATCATTATTGTATTGCTTATTGGCATTGGTAATCGCATTACCGGACATTGTAATGGTATAAAGATTATTGGTTAATAAGCCAGAACCAACACATCTCCCATTATGATAAATAGAACATACATCATCAGCAAAAGAAAATTCATAATTCTCTTTACTCAAACGAGGTATAGAGATGACATTCTCATAATGCAAGCAATTTTTCAATACCAATACATGTCCAGAAGGCAAACATAAACGAAAAGTCCCTACAACTAACGCAGCAACTCTTGCTCCATTTGCAAATGTTAGGACAATTTCATTTCGCCCCAGCATCCTGCTTATTTCCAGATTCTGCAAAGACATACAAATATGTGAGGTTGCAGCAGAATCTAGAACCCATAAGTTGGATTCAGCACTAACCATAAGATTAGTTTCAATAAGCATAGACACCATACCTTCGCAAGGTTGGTCCTTAGGCTTGACCTTCAAGCTGGCGAGGTACTTCTTGCAGTTCCTCCTTCAGTGCCCTTTGACACCACAGTAGTGACAATTCCCTTTTTCAACCTTGGGCTTTGATTGCACAGCATGTTTCATAGGCCTCTTCCATTTCTTTTTCTTCAAAACAGTCTTACTCTTTGAAGAAGAAGCCTTAGCCATAGCCACCACATTGGGCCCCGTGTTGTGCATTTCCTTCTCATAAACTACCAGCATGCTACGTAACTCAGCAAGAGTTTTCTCCATCTTATGCATGTGGAAGTTTTGGACAAAATCAGAGAAGGAATCGGGCAAAGATTGGAGAATCAAATCCACAACTAACTCATTATCCATAACAAGATTAAGCCTAACCAACTCTTCTATGTGCCAGATCATCTTCAAAGCATGATCATTAACCGATGATCCTTCAGCCATTCTCATACTGTACAATACCTTAGATATCTCATATCTAGAGGTTCGACCATTCTTATCAAAATATTCTTTTAAGTGCAAGATGATCGATCTAGCATCTTCCATAGTTTCATACTTCTTCTGCAATTTATTGTTCTTTGAAGCAAGCATGTATGACCTAACTTTTAAGTCATCATCATGCCACTCATCATAAGTAACGCGCTCCTCTTGGGTCCCACCCTCAGGAAAGGAGTTTGGCATCTTTTGATCAAGCACATACCCGATTTTCTCCGAATTGAGAACAATTCTCAAATTCCTCACCCAGTCAGTGAAATTGGGTCCAGTCAAACAATTCTTGTCAAGTATAGAAGCGAGTGGGTTTGTAGTCACCATTTTCAGAGTAATAATATATATGTGCAGAAAATAAATTGTTAGCCGTTGTCTTTCAAAATAACCATTTCATTTTAGCCTTTAAATGAAATAGTGCCTCCCACTAAATTTTTCGAATCCCATACTTCTTAAAATGGGAAAACGGTAATTTTTGTTGGGTAAAGATTACTAGTGGGGATTGGAGTCCCACTAGCCCATAGCCCGCCTCACCTGACAGTTATTGGTGTTCTATGAACTTAGTGAGTGAACCAACTTGTTCAACGCATCATATGCGAGTCCCAATCATAACTTCGGCCTCTAGACCATGAAAGTCTCATCTGACAATTATTGACATCATGATCATAGTTAAGTCTAGCCCATCATCTCATGCAAGTATTGAAAGCACAAATGATCCCCTCACCTGACAGTTATTGGAAATCGTTCAGCTCCAACCCCACAACATCATATGCATAATGGAATGATCCAATATTATAAATGGCAATTGACCCCTATGTATCCATAGCCGGTCAATCAACTACTATAATGTTGGACCAAACCACGATGATGGCAGGCCACGAGTCCGAAACCCGTTTCGACTTAATATAATTAATAAGGAGGTTTGGGTCATTATTAATGGTCTCACTTTGCACATTAACCGGTTTAACATGCATAACAATTGAATAAATAAATAGATATCAAATGCATAAAAATCTATCCTACGTGGTGATCACGGAATTATGGCTCAATGGGTCTCGAGCCAATGAGCCCCATTTAGCCATTTTAATGTTTTAATAATAGAGACCTGCTCTTCACTTCTTCTTGGATCCTTGAACTCTTCATGGACTGGGCTCATAGAGCTCTCCGGCTTAATGGCTCCTCTCTTGCAACGTTTACATCAACAATTGATTATACTAAACTATACTAAAAATACATTACAAGAAAAATAAAAAAAAAGAAGGACGCAGCCTCCATTTAATAATTACAACCCCAAAAATACCTGTAATCATCATACATTCATCCATACATCAATCATATTGATTAGGGGTTTTTCCATGATCACCACCCTTCCTCGCGAGCTATAAATTCTAAATTTAAAACTTTGGAAGGCACAAATAAAATTCTGCACCGAATCAAATTCTTGGTCGAGCAACGTAAGCCGCGTCAAGAAATCAAGCTGGTGAAACAAATTTCACCAGCGTGATTCCAAGCAACGGTAGCGTTGTCGCCTCTAGATTCATAATCGTGAATCATTTTGCAGAAGACAAACGTAAAAGAAAACAAGCCACAGATTCTTGATTCAAAATTGATTTCGTTCCAATTTTTGCTCAGTTGATCAAATTTATCATATAAATTAATCAACTTCTATAGGCCACTTAAGAGCAAGCAATTCTCTCAACAAACGTAAATTGGCTATTGGATCGCAAAAATATATATGAACCAAAATCAATTAAACGCACGAGAACGCCTAAGGATTGGCTCTGATGCCACTGTTGGTTTTCTACGGAACATGCATAGTTAAAAATATAAACGCAGCGGAAAGATATAACCACACATGTATCTCCAAAGACGTTGTTCGTGCGTTTCAATCAAAAATCGAAAGACCATAGGGGGTTAAAACGGATTACCTCTCGTAGCGTGCCCAAAACAATTTTGGTTCGGATTTTCTTCAGTTCGAGCCCCGCAACCGTCGGACCTCTAGTTCAGACACACCACCAATCGCACGACGAACGGAAGGAAGAACTTGCGGATAATCACCAATAGAATTGTGCTAGTAATCTTGTGGTGACAATTCTTCGCACTCTCGATATTTCAGTCACGGCGTCGGAAGAGAGAAAACGTATTTTCTTTACTCTAATGAACCCATGGTAATTCCCTTATTTGCACTCTATCTTCGTCACCCTCCAGCAACCGTTGCTGATCTCCACCCTTCACACGGTCAGCAACCGTTGCTGACCGTGGGTGAAGAAACACGGTCAACTGCTGACCGTGTGCATGCACCACCATCATCATCATTTTCATTTTTTTCAATTTTAAATTAAAACACACACGATCAGCAAGGAGCTGATCGTGTGCTGCACACGGTCAACATTTGTTGACCGCGTACACTTTTAATTAATTTAATTTTATAAAATTAAGAATGCAAGATCATATGGCACATTAACATGTGTCCACTTTAGGTTTGCGTGTGCATCATATTCACGCACGCTCATGACTGAAATAAAATAAAATTAAATCATATTTAATTTAATCTCAATCTGACTAATCGATTGCTATAATTGCAAACATATTTGCAATATTGCATCTTCCGTACAACCTCATCTTAAATTTGTTATGGTGTGTGGCATTCCTAGGTTCATCACTGAGCTGGTAGTAGGACTTGCACTAACACATTAGTACTCCCAAGAGAATTGATTGTCCCGGTCAACCTCTAGGTCCTGCAAGCCATGATTGACATCTAGCAATATGTCATGGCTACCCAGACAGTGTGAATATTTTAAGAACATATTGAACCTGTCAGCTTTGGCTACAGTGTAATTCAATCCCTCTACCTTACTATGTCCCGATCGAACAAAGACCATGGAATATTTGTCAAGTCACCAATTCGATCATATGCACAAATCTAATTGACATACATTTTATATGAGACATGAACAATTCATTCTCGGTTACAACCCCGGCCGAGGATTTCAATGCAGTGTCAAGATTAGATTGCATAGGACATCATTATTGTACCTTGCATATAACAAGGAGACAGATTCCATTTTGCGCACACGTGTAACTTCGTATGTGAACGAACTATGGCCATCAAGTACAGAGACGAATCAACGAAGCGGCAATATGTGCACCTATGAACCATAGCCATCCAACATACAAGTCAACACTGTACCTCAGGTTTAAGGATTATTTACACAAGACCAGAGCACGAACGATTAGACATTGACCACGCTAAAAGCTTCCATGTTGCTAATCGTTCTATGCATGTCACGTTTAGTGAACTTGTCTGATACAAGCACCTGTGTTCTAACTCGGCTATCGCAATATCCAATGACTCGTGACTCATCATTCCCTTAAGTATCCAATACTTATTAGTGAAGTTAACAACACACCGGTCTCAACAGGATCATTAATATCCACTCAATGATCCATCGACCGAGAACGATTTAAAGATTCAGTCTAACTGTGAACCTATCACACATATTCTTAACGTCTCAAGAATAGGTCCAGTCACAACTGATCTTATGGAATCATTCATGTAGTTAAATAATTGGACAAATGAATGGATGCGTCCTTGCCATTAAATAGATAATGTAATTGAAAGTACAACTTAAATCCCTAACATGTAACTATTACATGGTAACTTTAGGGCATACATCTAACAATAAGGGCTAGAGCTTCACCTGCATAATTTACACAGCAGTCGCACCTTGGTTGACCGACGTTGTGCATTGTTATGACATCCCATCCGTTGTACTTTGGATTCAACCAGCTACATTGTTCGAGATATATTACTATTATTCCAATGGCTACGGTGACAATATCACAAATGAGAGCAATGGTCCTTCATCGCCGACTCAATTACCGGGACTGCCGCTGCTCGCGGACCGCGACGTTCCTTCTTTTTTGTCCCATGGAAGTCCATTTGGTTTCCTTTATACTTTAATTGAAAAGCAAATCCAAGTGCTCAAGGAGGTTAGAAGACCAAGAGTGCTTGTGAATACTTTTGATGCATTGGAATCAGAGCAATTGAAGGCTATTGATGAGCTCGAATTAGTGGCTGTTGGGCAGCTATTGCCTTCCTTGGAGGGACAAGACTCTTCCGACACATCGCTAGGAGGCGATCTCTTTCAAGGCTCGAGGGATTACATCGAGTGGTTAGACACGAAGCCTGAGGCCTCGGTGATTTATGTATCATTCGGAAGTATTTCCACACTATCGAAGCCACAAAAGGAAGAAATGGCACGCGGGTTGTTAAGCACTGGCCGGCCATTCCTGTGGGTGATCCGGAAAGCCGGAGAAGAAAAGCAAGAGGAATCAGAGGATCGATTGAGCTGTGAAGAGGAGCTACTGAAACAAGGGATGATAGTACCATGGTGCTCCCAAGTCGAGGTCTTGTCGCATCCGTCGATCGGGTGCTTCGTCACGCATTGCGGCTGGAACTCGACGCTGGAGAGCCTCCTCTGCGGGGTGCTGATGGTGGCGTTCCCGCTGTGGGCCGACCAGCTAACCAACGCCATGCTCATCGAAGATGTCTGGAGGGTTGGGGTGAGGGTCAATGGGAATGAACAAGGCGTTGTGGAAGGAGGTGAGCTCGAGAGGTGCTTGGAATTGGTCATGGGAGGTGGCGAGAGGAGCGAGGGAATGAGAGGGAACGCCAGAAACCTGAAGGATTCGGCAATAGAGGCTGCCAAAGAAGGTGGGTCTGCGGACAAGAATCTCAAGGCATTTTTGGAAGAGATTGCTTCTAGCTGAAGAATAGAGTTCAATTTGGAATTGAACCAAAGGCTTTTTTGACATACCGCGTAGAATTATGATGTGATTAAGGACGGACTTTGGTCCTCCTTTGTTACCAAAAGAAATTAACGTGGTTGAAATGTAGTGCCTATGAAAGAAGCACATTAGCAAAAACACTTGGCAACTATATTGTGGCCTGAAATATCATTCCATTGTATTGCATTGCATAAAAGGCCACAGCCAAGAGATGTAATAGTATCAACTGAATCAGTAACAGGCTAAGCTAATAGCAAACAAAATAAGGCCAAATGACAATAACAATCCTCACATTTTCTCTTTTCATTTTAGTTTTATCGCCAACTTTTTAGGTTATTCAAATAATTTTTTCGCCATTTGAACTCGTATAAAATCAATCCCAAGATTATACTCCTCGAAAACTATATCTTAGTTACCCTTTTGCCTTTTTCTGAGTTATTATCTACAATATCGCCATTAAGGCCATATTTTCTTGAGAAAAAAATCAAATTCTTTGTGTTTATTTCATAAAAAAAATTAATTTGATAAAAAATGACTGATATAACGCTAGACACGTGCTCTCTGATTTAAAAATATAAACCAAAAAAGAGTGGGAAAAAATTCGCACAGACAAACAAAAAATAAAATTAGGTGTAAAATGGGGATTTGGAAAGAAATTTAACGAAATATTTCCTCTTAAGAATGGTGTTGAAGGAACTAGGACTGATATAAAACATATTTAAAAGGTTGGATATTTTTCTACCAGAATTAAAAGGTCAGGAAAAAATTGATTTTCTTTAAACGTAGGGATTTATTTTGCCATGTGACCTAGGATCTTGTTAGAAAGTGCCCATGGGCACTAGCTAAAGATAGTAACATTAATGAAAATAAATATGGACACATTTATAAAAAAAAACTTATTTCAAAAAGTGGCACATGCTTCAAACAGAAATATTCATATTCCCAATGACCCTTAACAAGTGCCGTAAAAAACTCTTTAACATTTTTTAAATAAAAAAGAAAGATCACTAAGGAGCCATCTACATACGAAAATCAGAAAAATTATCAAAAAAGTCATAAACCTATTATACTAATGCCAATTAAGTTTTAAACCATTTGATTTGATCAATTTATTCATACACCTTTCGATAATTTGTCAATATAATTCTTTCAGCCAGAAATTGCTAACATGGACGTCAGACGCCCTATGTGACATGATTACTAGCCAATTCTGATGTAAATAATTTTTGCAATTTTTTTCTTTTTTTTTTCTTATTTGCCTTTGCCTTCCAAATAGGACGCCCCTCGCTAGGCCCAAATCTGGCGAGGGAGTCGCGGCTTTGCGCAAGCGTCGTGACGCTCTCACCCAGTGTCGGCAAGGGTCAAAAGGCAACTTTGGTTGACCCCCGGTTTAAAAAAGAAAGAAAAGAAAAAATGGAAAAAATAAAAAAAATTCAGAAAAATTATTTAAAAATTGTTCACATCAGCATTGATCGTTGTCCACATCAACAATATCCAGCCAATTTTTGGCCGGAAAGACTACATTCGCAAATTGTCAAAAGATTTAAAACTAAATTATTCAAATTGAAAAATTTAGAATTGGATTGGCATCTATAAAATAGGATTAGGATTTTTTTTTTTGGGTAATTATCCCTACTAAATCCTTTGAAAGAGAGAATCGTATTAAAAAGAATTTGGTCCAATAAAATCTTTGTATATGACAAAGTAATCCATGATACATAAACACTTTAAGGGAGTAATAAGTATCTCGAGTTGATAAGACTTTTCTCTCAACATATTTTTTAGACTAAATCAAGCACTTTAACAAGAGAGTCCTTGACTACTTATATTGATACGATTTACTAATTTAGGGTACTCTAAATGCAATTAATAGTTTTTTCCTAGTAGAGTTACCTCGTTTGACCAAAGTACCTCTAAGCTTTGAGAAGATTTATCCCAAATAACCAAAGGCAGAAAAATTCTAATAGACACCAATCTAACAAGGGTTAATATCACCAAAAATCTCAAACTGATACACATATGATAAATTTACCCTAAACTAATTTTTTGACCACGAAAAATCTCAAACTTGTATACTCGTGATAATTTTATCCCGAACTAGTTTTTTGACCACTAAAAATCCCAAACTAGTACACTCGTGACAATTTTACTCCGAACTAATTTTTTAACCACAAAAAACCCAAAAGTAGTACACCTATGACAATTTTACCCTCTGCTAGTTTTCGTTAAATTTTACTGTCAAATTGCTGAGTTTAATGATATGTAGTAGTTGATGGATATACCAGTTTGGGGTTTTAGCCCTCTATTTGTCACAAGTTGATTTTTCATGATATTAATCCAATTTAATGAAGGGTAAATTTGTTACAAATGTACCGCTTTGGGGTTTTTGGTCGTCAAAAAATTAGTTTGGGGTAAAATTGTCATAGGTGTACCAGTTTAGGGTTTTTATAGTCCAAAAATTAGTTCGAGGTAAAATTGTCACGGATGTACCAGTTTGGAGCTTTTCGTGGTCAAAAAATTAGTTCGGGATAAAATTGTCATAGGTGTACCATTTTGGGATTTTTGGTGATAAAAAAATTAGTTTTGGGTAAAATTATTATGAGTGTACCAATTTGAAATTTTTTGTGATATTAACTCTTCTAACAAAGAGCCGATAACCCATTTCCCACATCGCGCTGCCGCCATCCCCGTACATAGCTGTCGCTTAGACCCCGCCGCAATCACCTCCCTATATCCGTCGCCCTCCCCGTCACCGTCATCAACCAATGTCTCTGTTTCTCTTCCTCTCTATCCATGAAGAAATAGGGGCCTCGCCCGAGGGCTATGGCTGACACTGTGGTCGAGGCCTGTGGAGCCATGCTCGATCGAGCTGATGAGTAGAGACTGTGAGTTTGTCGGATAGACGAGAAGGGGCTGTGACGAGATTGGACATGGCCGGTGAAGCATGAGGAGGCTCGTGCTAGGCCAATGACAATGATACGGCCGAGAGGATGCGGGCTCGCATGAAAAAAAAAAATCTCTACCATGTGAACAGTTCGGTCATGCATGGGCAGGGGCAGATCGGGAAAATGGGAAAATGGGGAAAAAGAAGGGAAAAAAAAGAGAAAATGAGGGAGATTCAATCTCAACCGTTCAAATAGTGTCATGGAACTTATTTGGTGCGCATTCTTGGGGCATCATAGCATTGAAGACCTAAAATGAGGGGTTTGGCACATAATGTTTGACTAATCTACTCGCCATGTGACAATCAATTGATTAGTTAACATCGTCACAATCCAAATCCCATGGCAGATCTCGCTTAAATTGATGAATTGAAAAGACAATCAAATCAAATTTGGCTAAAACGTTGAACTACGAAGGTCTGTCAATCCTTTAATTCAAACGCCCCATATTTCGTGCCACACGGAGCGTGGCATTTCCCTTTTTATGAAGTCTATATAATTTCTAACCAAAAGATTCATTCTTTACAAGTTGATAGGGTTTGAACCCTCTTTCTTTTCTTTGCTGATTCCTCTCAATTAAATTTGCCATGTTGCACTAAGTTACCTACGGATCGAGCGATTGGGGTCCATTACGAGAGAGAAAGGGTACCACTAGAGCAACTCATATTGAAACTCGAGAGTAGCCGAACTAATCCTCAATCTTTGATTGCGCGTCTGAAGTTGGAGGTCTATATGAAATTACAATTATTTAAATGATTTCGAGACATCACATGATTATTACCGGTACGATTAGTTCGTGAGCTCCGACGGGGAGTTAAAGACTAAATGAAAGGCTAACAATCATTTGACCTCAAACGACCCCTTGTAGATGATGCTTAGCAATATGATAACTACAATCAAATAAAAAAAAACAAAAGGAATAATGACAAATGTTAATTTCTTCAATGTGGATTGTGAATTTTTGCTCCACGTAGAATGTCATTTCTAAATTTTTAATTTATTAAATGTAGTTCCTAAACTTTTGATATATGTTCAACTTAATCTCTTGACTATATGAAAATGTTTAATTTTGTCCTTCAATTAATTCAAGTTTAGGGACAATATCGAATATTTTCATATAGTCTCGTGGATCACATCAAATGAATTATAAAGTTCATTATCCACGTTATATATTGAATTAAAGTGCATAAATCATTTGTGTTAGACAGAGATGTTTTGGTCCATCACCATCACAACTCATTAATTTTATCATATCAACATTCAACAACTCCCGATTCTCTTCGACACCTGTCCACATCAAACTCTGTCAATCAAGCTTTTATAGACTTTATTTAACAGCAGAGATATCCATAAATTCAAATTTGTTTTCCTAACTCCTCCAACGTGATACAAATTTAAAAGTATTTATTTCGTGAAAAATTAACCACTCAAATAATATTTTCTTAAAAATTGACTACACGGACATATACATGAATCCGCGATTTAGACGTAATTGTTGTTGATCAAGAAATATTTTCCGTCAGCGTCGCAAATGATCAATAATAAACGCATCGAGTACATATGATGTAACAAAAGGACAAAAGCACTAGCCATTCATTTCCCGCGTTTTGCCAGCTCAGCAGGTTGCAAAGGTTCTTTAGATTATGCTTCACACCCCCTCGAAAAGAAGTCTCCACCCACAGTCCAAACAAAACAGGTTGGAAGTTCGATTCTACACAAACAAAACATTATCAATAGAGAAAAAAAAAGAGAAATAAATAAAAATAAATAAATAAAATTGTCATTTGAGACTATCAATAATGCAAACCTTTCTTTTTCATTTTCCACCAATTAACATGATTTTGTCTTTATTCTTATCCGACACTTGACTCCCATCTATTTTCCTAATAGATAATGATCCAAAAATTTCTGATTAAAAGGTTATGAAAGATTTCGAAAATTCGTAGGATATAGCTTGTAAGAATAAAATCTTTTTTTGAACTTTGTTTTCTCGGTGAATTATTTTGTCAGATCCGTGTCCGGCACCTCCTTTTTTACGCGAGTTATATATTATCGATTTTAAGGAATTAATTAACAATTCACATAAATATAAGGTCCAAAATAAAATTAGGAGGCGCGAGAAGCGCAAAATAGGGGAATTACTTTACTTAAGCTAGTCTTAATTTTTTTTTCCTTAATTAAGGCAAATTGTTTTTATAAAATTAGAAGCAACAAATTAGATAATTCCCGTTATCTCCCTCAAAATCCCGATAAAAATCATACTCTCTCTCTCTCTTCGCTGTCCGTCAACCCAACCAAATCATCAACCATACAACGCAACAACGTAGCACCATAACACGTCTCCCTCCCTCTCCCTCCCTCTACGATGGGCGACATGGCAACCCTCCTCCTCCTCCTCCTCCTCCTCCTCTCTGCCGTGGCCGCGGCATCCGGCGACGAATCCTCCGCCATGTCCGAGCTCCGGGCCGCCGTGTCCCCTACCCCGTCCGGCTGGTCCTCCGCCACCTCCTACTGCAAATGGGACGGTGTCAACTGTGACTCATCCTCCCGCGTCAGCGCCATCAACCTTGCCTCCCGGTCCCTCACCGGGACCCTGCCCGCCGACCTCTCCTCCCTCTCCCGCCTCAGGACCCTGTCCCTCCAGAAGAACGCCTTCTCCGGCCCTGTCCCCAACCTTGCCAACCTCGCCTCCCTGCAGGAAATCTACCTCGACGGCAACAATTTCACCAGCGTGCCCTCTGGGGCCTTCGCCGGGCTCACGAGCCTGCAGACGTTGAGCCTGAGCAACAATTTCGACCTCGACCCGTGGCCGATCCCGTCCGAGTTGAATCAGTCCACGAGCCTCGTCACCTTCTACGCCGGCAACGCCAACGTGATGGGGCCTCTGCCCGATTTCTTCGGCTCCTTCCCGAGCCTCCAGAGCCTGCGGCTGTCGTACAACAACCTCACCGGGCTGCTCCCGCCGTCTTTCGCTGGGTCCGGGATTCAGAACCTGTGGCTCAACAATCAGGCGCAGGGCTTGTCAGGTACTATTGGTGTTTTGTCTGGCATGCCCCAGTTGTCTCAAGTCTGGTTGCACAAGAATAGGTTCACTGGTCCGATCCCGGACCTGTCGAAATGCGAGAGGTTGTTCGACCTTCAGCTTCGCGACAACCAGCTCACCGGGGTCGTGCCTGCTAATCTGATGTCGTTGCCTAGTTTAAAGAATGTGTCGTTGGACAACAATAAGTTGCAGGGCCCTGTGCCCGATAACCCCAACAACATCCAGTTTACTTATGATGGTACTAATAGCTTTTGTAACACTGCACCGGGTCCTTGCGCTCCGCAAGTCACTACGTTGCTGGAGATCGCAGGGGCGCTGGGTTATCCGATGACGCTGGCCGATTCTTGGGAAGGGAATGATGCTTGTCAAGGGTGGAGTTTCATTGCTTGTCAGGGGAAGAATGTAACGTCCGTGACTTTCTCCAAGCAGCATTTCTCGGGGACGATCTCACCCGCGTTTGCCAATCTCACGTCCTTGAGGAGTTTGCTGTTGAATGATAATGATTTGACTGGTTCTATACCGAATAGTTTGGCCTCGTTGCCTCAGCTTCAGGTCCTTGATGTTTCGAACAACAATCTCTCTGGGGCAGTGCCAGTCTTCCCAGCTTCAGTAAAATTGACTACCACGGGCAATCCTTTGCTCGGAAAATCAAGCTCTGGGAGTGGGGGAACTTCTGAGCCGGGTTCAAATTCGAGTTCTGGAAGTTCATCGAGTGCAAGGAAGGGCTCTTCTGTCTCAGCTGGTTTGATCGTGGCTCTTGTTTTGGCTGTTTTAGTATTTTTAGTGGTGGTGCTGTTTGTATTATACAAATTCTGTTATGCCAAAAGGAAAAATACAGGGATTGGGAAGGGTGAAAATTTAGAAAAGGGAAAAGAAGTAGCTAAGATAAATGGGATGAATGGGAATGGTGGTGTTCAAAGTGAGATGCATAGTCAGAGTAGTGGCGACCTTCCTGTCTTCGATGGTGGAAATGTCGCCATTTCAATTGATGTTCTCAGACAAGTAACGGATGATTTCAGCGAAAGCAATGTATTAGGCAGGGGAGGTTTTGGTGTTGTCTACAAAGGGGAACTGCATGACGGGACCATGATTGCCGTTAAGAGGATGGAATCTTCAGCTCTAGGAAATAAAGGATTGTATGAGTTCCAAGCTGAACTTGCAGTACTTACTAAAGTCAGGCATAGGCATCTGGTTGCTCTCCTTGGATATTGTATCAACGGTAATGAACGGCTGTTGGTATATGAGCATATGGCACAGGGCACACTGGCTCGGCATTTGTTTGAGTGGGAAGAGATGGGCTGCTCACCCCTTACATGGAAGCAGAGAGTTACGATAGCTCTGGATGTTGCAAGAGGGGTAGAATACTTACACAGCTTGGCTCAACAGAGTTTTATCCACAGGGACTTGAAACCATCTAACATACTTCTTGGGGATGACATGAGGGCGAAAGTTGCAGATTTTGGTTTGGTTAAAAATGCTCCCGATGGCAAGTACTCTCTCGAGACTCGTTTGGCTGGAACATTTGGCTATCTAGCTCCCGAATATGCTGGTAATAGAGCTTCGATGCTTCTTGTTTCAGTTTGTCTTTTGTAATTTGCTTATAATACGGCTGCACTTTCTTGAACTCCAGCAATCTTGGTAGCCCTGAAGAGTAGGATTGAATTGTCTGAGAGATATAGTCACTCAAAAGTTTTTGATAGCGGGACAATTAAAGAATATGAGAATGGGTGACATTAGGACTTTTTGAAACTTGTTATGATATATTGTTGCGCTTACGAAGAGAGGAGAGAAATAGAGGAAGATACACCAAAAAGCACAAAATGGTCTTTGTAATCTTGAACTCTTTGGAAGTCCTCTTTCCTTGATTGGGGTACTCATGAGCATTCACGCATTTCCTTGGCTGGAGATTGATGTATGACCATGATCTCCAACTTATTGTTCTGTTTCGTCGTATATGTGGATAGAAAGCCTGGTTCTAGTTTATTAGCCTGGTTCTAGTTTATTGTGTTGGTATTATAGATTTTACTGGCTGCAATATCCAAAAATGTGCAAATGCTAACACTGAAGAAAAATTTCTTCTCCAGTTAAGATGTACAATTTCGATTATATTCTCCAGTACTCTGCTTTGGGCGTTCTCTGGGCACCCATTTGTTCGATTGCTTGGATTGTATGCCTCAGAAGTTGAATTTGATATGCTTTCTCTATAACAGCGACTGGCAGGGTAACCACTAAGGTGGACATTTATGCATTTGGAGTTATTCTAATGGAGATACTCACCGGCAGAAAAGCATTAGATGATTCTCTGCCAGATGAGAGGGCTCATTTGGTGACATGGTTCCGCAGAGTCTTAATCAACAAGGAAAGCATCCCAAAAGCCATAGACCAAACTCTTAACCCTGACGACGAAACCTTGGAGAGCATCTGCAAAGTGGCCGAGCTGGCAGGTCACTGCACTGCCCGCGAACCCTTCCAAAGACCCGATTTGGGCCACGCAGTGAACATTTTGAGCCCTCTTGTAGAACAGTGGAAGCCTTCTCGCCAGGAGGACGAGGACAACTTTGGCATTGACCTACACATGAGCCTCCCTCAGGCTCTAGAAAGATGGCAAGCAGATGAAGGAATTTCCACAATGTTTAATGGTGCGTCCATCTCCCAAACCCAGGCAAGCATCCCTCCAGAACCTGCACATTTTGTGGACACATTTGATTCCATGGATTGCCGGTGAGGGGGACTAAAATATATGCCTCCCACCTTCTTAGTCCAGTGTCTTACCGAGGAGGAACTGCGCTTCTATCATATATTCTTTCACTTAATTGATCTTCTTGCAGCCTCCTGATGATTTATACTGCTCGAGCTGAGTTAATAGGAGCTACTTACTTAGGTTTTCATTCTTTGATCTGTTATTCTTTTTCCACTCGTTCTTTCTTTTCTATCTTCGCTTGTTCAGAAAACCGAGTTAAGAAGAGGAGCGTAGATATGTGTATGATATTTCTTTTACACTGCAAAGAAAAGAAAGCGAATGCTTTCACTTGAATGTAGTAATTGGGTTTAGAAAACTTTCCATTTCTTCCTTTTCCTTATGAATGATCAAATTAATTTTCCTTCTCTCGTGTACTCATTGAGCTTTCCTCTGTGAAAAGCATCATGCCCCTGGTCCCTTTTGAGATGATTCTCCAATCCAGCCTGTGCAACATGCATTAGGTGGGTCATATGCCAGCAGATAAGTTGGCCTACTTTGTATATGTTAGAAAAGAAGACAGACCAAAAGCTTGATGAGAGAGACGCAGAGACAGAGATTGGTTGGGGTTGGGTTAGAATCTGCGACTGAAATCACATGTTAGGAAGATGCATGTGTTGGGGGGCCATGTTAGAGGAACGTTAAAAAGAGTGGACCCTTTCATTGAACATGATACAGCAGTTGCTGTGCACATGCTGCGGGACCCCTGTCCCAGTTCTTTCATTTTTTCTATGTGTGGTTGTGGGGAAGAAATTATTCGCGAGATGAGTTGATGTTTTCACTTATTAAATTACTAAAGTCGACTAATTTCATTCTATTTTTTTTTTCTTTTTTTTCTTTTTGATTGTAGTGTGAAAAGGACTGGAGTGAAGTTGAACCAAATACAATGATTGGTTTGCCTGAATGTACCCAAAGGAATATATTTGTCACTGTTCTGAAACATGACAATGACATATAACAAAAAAACCAAACCCCACGAAAAGCATATCTGGTAAGGATATCATAGGAGAGGTGTTTACTAAGGTCGTGCATGTATGATTTAAATTTACAACTCATTTGTTCTGGGGCCAATAACCTTCCACTGTAAAGGTATTTTCTGTTGGTGTGGAACAAAATATGAGTGAAAGTTTTTTCTATCCTACAAATGAAGACGACGGGCTTAGTGGGCTGCAGTCTACAATACCGTGTGCGGGTGTGCAATTAGCGCTTGTGCGCCCGTGGACCACATTTGGCATTAACCAACAATTATCATTTTTTATTTATTATAATTCGAATTTATTATTATTTGTAGGGGCAGGATAATATTTGTTACTGTAGATTACATTACTTGTCTCTAATACTAATCCAACATCATGGCCAAAAGATAAATTATCAAAATTAACACATTTTCCCTCTAAACGTTGCTTATAAGTCAGGTCACACGACGTTAACACCCAGAAAGATATGTATTATCGCTTTTAGTATTTTTCTCTCAAGCTATTTGTTCCTTAGCAGTGGTGATTATCTCTTTTAAGTTTACAATAGCTAAAAAATTATTACTCTTATACTTATCTTTATTATCATGCACAATTCGATTTTTATTACGTTACTTAAACCAGACTTTGATTAGACCAGGAATTAGATTTCGTTGAATAACAAATCCTACATGCCGGATAAGATAGAACGAAAAACTTCGACTCCATCCGTCATCCATAGTCTTTCCATCCTTGTAGAAATATTTCATATTCTAAATTCAAAGTTTAACATATCTCGTTGTATAGCGATTTGTTCAAATTATATTTCCTTGGTTCATGCACAAGTGATTATTATGGACCTTATTTATTCACATAAAGCCAATGATCTGCTGTTAATAGAAGCTGGTTAAGCCCACGGAGTGTCAGCATATTTCGAAACTGGTTCAGCAACTGCAATTTTACTCCATCGGGATCTTCTTCTTCAATTTTGAGAGCGAGAGTCGACGTTAGTTTGCGAAAAGAGGGAAAAACGCCGCATGTAGGAGCGAATTAAAAGCAAGAAGAGCGACATTTCAATAGGGGAAATGATAACAGATCATGCCTTAATTTTTTTAACATGAGACCTCGTTTTGGGATTAGTAGTCTTATGATGTGGCCCCCCGAGACTCGATTTCTTGATCCGTTCATGTCAACAATATCTTCATCGCAAGAAACAAGAGAGGAAAAAATTAGGGTATCATCAGAAGGCGTTGAACAGCAGAATAATAGGAATAGGAATGGCTTCTGCTGCTTCCCACATGCATCGTGAAGGATCATGTCGAAAGCATCAAGCAGCGAGCGGGTGTACAGCTCGGAATCTATGAAGCCTTGCTCAGCTCGCACTGCTACTCTCAGATTTCCCGCATAGCTGAAGATCGTTATGCCTTACTCTGCAAAAGTTAATCGCAAGAATAGATTTCATGTGTTCATCACATTATTGTTTATGGAGAAGAAGGCCGCTCACAATTCAGTCTAGTGATTATGTGTTATGGTAAATAAGACATCGATTCTTGAATTCGACATCCTGTCGACTTCTTGCGGATGGCATAGGAGAGTAACTGTTGCATAAAATGTATTACGATATCATGTAGAAAAGTTTGTGCTTAGATCTGTAGATGTCTCAAAAGTTGCAATCTATATCAATATTTCGGAAGAAGATGCATATAACGACTCGGAAAATGAGGCTCAGTGCCAAAACTTTAGACCCACCAATCAAGCGTTGGTAATTTTATGCTCTTGGGTCGAAATCAAAATTAATTACTAGAAATATACCCCAGGTGTGCCTTCGACTGTGAAGTGCAAGCCTTTAACATGATGATTACCCAGAGACAATTTCTCCATTGGCCCCATAACGTTGGAGATGACCATGCTCGAGTTTCTCAATGTCCTGCTGATGTGCTTTGCTACTGCCTGCAAGTTCAAGCAAACAAGAGTGCATTCATATCAATTTTGTGAATCAGACTAAGCATATTTAGCATTTCTGATTAATTAATTGTCACGGCATGCACCTACCTCTGCGTTTCTGCATTTTTTCATGATCTCAAGTAGCTTCCCTGTGAGGACTACACCGAAGGAGCTCCGTTTCCTCTTGATCACCTCACGAGCTCTGTGGACAAACTTCAAAGGATCAGAGAACTGAGAATCGCCCGGTTTCATCTTCGGTATCGGCACATGCAAGAATGCAAAATTGTTTCCCCACGGTGACTTGGAATTAGGTCTAACCATGTCACTTAGGGACTTGTAATCTCGCAAATTCATCGTATTCAGCAACACCAGCGCTGTGGAGTTGGTGCTCAGGTTTGAGTTTGGGCATGCTCTTTGCATGTACAATCGAGTTGCCAAGAAGATTACTCCCGTTATCACGTCTTTGATGGTCTGTTTTATTATAGAGAAAATTCAATCGAAAACGACTGATGATATGTTATTTTTTTTGCCCTCGAAGTCGTTACAAAAGTTTTGATTGATTCGAAGCCTTAATAGATTTCTGTATAGTAAAAGAGTAAATATGCCTATGTTCCAATTTGACCCTAGTTCAAGAAATAATGTTGCATTTGTATCGTCGAATGCTACTAAAGATATTAATTATCTTTGGAAGAAGCAATCAACTAGTTTTCTAGAACTTATTTTCTATATGAAAAGAAACCAGTTTCTAGCTCAACTGTCTTTTTTGTTTTCAAGGATGTCATGATGTGCTCTTGTGGCTAAAAAAATCGTTACACAGTAAAAAAAAAACATTATGCGCATTAAATGCGTAAATCCATGTTATTTTCCTTGATTAACCCTTGTTCACTCTGAATACTAGCCGTATACTAATTTTCAGACTGGGTATAGTAAACGTCTAAAGTAAATATCACCTAAACTACGTATATTTTGTGAATACTTAAAAAATAAATATTTTTGAGCTAGTTATGTGAAGGCAACCATTATTATGCAAAAGATTAGAGACGAAAAGTGCACCATAAAACCCACATGCGCATGGCCGAGTTGGTGGGCACTTTCCTTCCCTCCTCAGAGGTTCTGGGTTCGAATCCCCGCTCGGTTCCGTAATTTAAGTGGGGGGCCCTGGCGGTGGGTTGCTGGGCTAGTCTCCCCCGAGGTATAGGCGCCCCGATTACCTGTGCGGGCTCGTCCCCGGGGAATGGTGGCGGATCCTCGGTTACAAAAAAAAAAAAAAGTGTACCATAAAAAGTAAAATGCTAAAAGATCGAGTAATGCACGTGTGATACAAGAAGCTAGAATTAGTATAGTCTTCAAAATGATGTTTGTTACCACTCGAACGCAAGACTTGATGTCTTTGATGCGATCCAATGAGAACGTGATTGTCGACAATGGAAAAGGCCGGAATCTTTCCGAGCCACACCGAATCGGTGACAAATCATCCGCGACACAAGTGCTTTTCAAGACGCTCCTACCAAAATCTCTTACTGTGTCAACGAGCGGCCAAAAACATTTGCTAACCACCTTCCGAAGTCCAATGTTTCTGTCATCCTTATTCATTGAGCTTAATTTCTTGACTGAGGGAAAGGTTACTGGAAGAGAAGGATCGTCAGCTCTTTGAAGGCAAGACAAGAGAGCACCCACAAGAGAATAGCCATCCCCGAGGGCATGGTGAAGCTTGAAAATTATGGTTCCTTGTGCTTCACTAGTTGGACACTAGATAATATGTATTTCCCACAATGGCTGGCCTTCTGGATATGATTGCATAGCTATTTGCGAAATGTAACTTTTGAGGAGACTGTCATTCTCGGATAGAGATGATGAGCCCTTTGGAGTGGAAAAACAGGGGAAGTGTACATGGTTTTCCACATTCACTTCCACCTTCTTCCATTTTCTTTCTCCCTTCTTTCCCACCACCTATCCAAGACAAAAGAAAACCAAAATAATATCCAAGTATGTGCAGTGAATTAGGTTTTATTCATTCAAGATATGTGACCATGCATGCAATCACCTGATATACACTAATTACTCATATGTCAATCCCACCACTGGTGAATATCTATGCATAGGGTACATACATACATGCATACATACACACATACATACATACCATGATAGAAGCGTGGGTTGATTGGGAGGAAAACATCTTTGATGAGCGACGTAGTTTGCAAGTCATCGATTGGAATTTCGAATTCCAACATGGCAAGAACAAAAACCGACATTACTTTACTGTTGAAGTACTGTCCAGCAAGGCTCACTGGCTCAAGACCTTCAGCATCTTTTATCAACTCCATTGGATAGGACTTGTAATAATTTCAATCTAAGAGCAACAGGTTGAGAATTTATAAAGAAGTCTTTGAAAGAATTGGATATCATTGACATAAAAAAGAGGGAAAAGGACAAACGGAGTTATCTCCCGTAACATTAAAGAAC